TGATGCAACAGGCTGACTCCCATCTCCTCCCAAACATACACAAGGTCAGCACTTACATGCTGTGCCACATAGGCTCGCCGCGCTGCATCCTCGGCCATGCTCCTACGGTGCCACTCTTACGGCACCCTCCGACCCTGATCTTTCAGCCGGACTTCCACTGACATGTGGTGATGACTTCCGTACCATGCACCGCCCTACGTCCTGAGGACATGACAGCAGAACGAGAGGTCCGCCTGCAGAACCAAGCACCGAAGACAAGACAGCAAAACGTGAGGCCGAAGCGCCGAACCAAGCACCGCCCTGAATCCGAGGACAAGACAGCAAGAAGCGGGCACTCGTGCACAAACAGTCTTTTGTGGGCCTTTCTCAAGCATATCATGCTTCAAAGATCCGGCTCCTCTTGCTCCGGCTCCTCGATTTCTGTACTCGAGGACGAGCCCGAGGAGGAGGCCTCTCTAGAAGCCTCCGCCTCTCCCTGTGCAATCTTCTTCCAGCAGCTCTTGCACCAAGCATCAGCATTGGCATCCGAAACATTCGTGAACCCTTCAGCCGAAAAGACATTCCAGGGCAAAACTCCGCATTTGTCTTTAGCATGCAGACGACGAAATTGGCTCTTCCTAGAAATGGAGACCCAATAGGGATACTCGGACCAATCTCTCTTCGGAGTGTCCTCATCTTCCACGGCCACCTCCAGGGCCGCTTCACCCTCGCCAACGTCGGCCTCCAGCTCGTAGTCCAGAGGGTAACCTAGCAGGAGGGCACGATGCCCGTCGTCATTTGTCCTCCAGACACGATGGCGACTTGCCCCGCGTGCGAAACTCACCCCACGAGGATTACCAAATTCATGCAGCTCGTTCAAGATGGGAAGCTCATCGACTCCAGCATGCCCTTGCACAAGCCCTTCGACCACATGCATCTGCACACGATGCACAACCTCTCGCGAAGTGACGATGTATTCATTGCTCTCGTGTGCCCCGGCCTGCCAGCGCCCCAGGAAGTCCCTATCCTGCTTCGAGACACCTAAGTTCGCCGCCCAAGCCGGCAGCCAATGCCTCGCAGAATGCCCCGACCAAAATGGCAGGAGCTCCTGCGTGATGAGAGCCACCTCTCCCTTCCTCCAGGTACGCTCCCATCGGGTGGGAGCATGCAGCTCAGAAAGTACTCTCTTGATGCAAACATTCAACATTTCGGGAGACAAATGTTTCTTTACCCCAGAACTCCAATCGGTCGAAGGGAAAGGAATGAAGTAAGAACGCTTCCAGAAAAGCTCCGGCCTGCGAAACAAAGCGAAGCCAGCTTGAAGCCAATCATTCCCCGAAAGAGAAACTTCCCTGCTAACATACACGGGCACCTCACGTGCTCGACGGCCAGGTCCTGTTGTTTTGGTGCGTCTCAGCACACCAGCCAAGCCACTAGCTGTAAGTGTCATGCGCCCAGGATCCAGCCACTGAACATCATCTGCCCTCATGGCCATCCAATGCTGCAGCAGAATCACCCAGGCAATAACCCTTGCAAACAATGAAGAAGTCGCATCAAGCACAAAAACCTCCAGGGCAATAAGCACAGCCACTGTATACAACTTTGCTGGCCGACGTGGGGCTGCACGGCTCTGAAGCTCCTCAGTAATAGAGCGAGCCATCGCCTTGACAGTCTCATCTGCTGAAAATCGCTCCTTCGCAGGAACACGTCCCACTGACTCAAGCACTGAGAGGGCAGCCAGCAAATCCCCAGGCACACTGAAACCACAGCCATCCTTTGCCCGTTCCTCCAGAAAATCTGTAATATCTGAAACACGGGTGGGCCACAAACGACCCCGGACAGTCTCCAGCCAGACCCGAAAACGCTTGAAAGCCCTGGCACGATTCCTCAAGGTCTTGGCCCGCTGCGTGCCGAATACCCGACGCCAGGCTTGGCGACGGTCCTCCGAACCTTCGATCAAAGCTACGACGGGGAGCTGGGCTTCAGTGATAAAAACACTCATAACTTCCACCCAGCGATCGCGCTCACGAGTCTCCAGAATGTCAGGGTCTTCTTCAGAGGCCAACAGAGCTTTCCCTAGCCCAGATTTTCCATGCTTCCGTTTGAAAGGCATCAGCGAATTAGCAGTAACTGCGAAAACCTCTTGCATATGAGCAGAATCCGAGCCAACCGAAGGAAGACGAGGCCTTTTGAATATAGCATTCGATTGAGCTTGCACCACCCGCTTCCGATGTGGGAGGCCCTCTCGGAACTCCTGCAACCGCCCTCGCAGCAGAGCCCCTTGAAGCACATCACCGCCTGAAATAATACTCAGCACATCCTCAAAACCTTCTGGACTGTCAAGGAGTTCCAGGGGAACCAATGGCTGTGCAAACTGCCGCAGTCGCTTGACCCATTCAGAAGGAAAACACTCCAGCTAAACAAATCCTCGCCGGCTTCCTTGGAAGCTGCGGTCTCCATGGCCGCGCCCCACCCACTAAAAACATTCTGAGCTCCCTCCTCCGGAGCCTCAATGTCACCGAGCATAAAGATGACCAGTTATCAAACAAAAGTCTGCAGCAAATAAATCATACAAAGGAAAATCATGCGATCATGCAAAACAGGAAAACATCAATGGGGCCCGCCCTCCTCCCCTTTTGCATCCTACAAACCCCTTTGGGCAAGCCCAAGAAGCAAGGCCTGTTCAGCAGCCTGGCGGATCTGCTCGTTTCGGCGTCGGGCCTCGTCAAACGCGAGGTCCTGGTTCAAGACATACTTGAAGTGGCCCTTGTGCAACTGCTCAAGCAACTAGGAGGGAATGGCCACATCCTTTCCCAACACGATCTGCGTTGGGGAGAAACCTGATGCGCGAGCCTGCCTGTTACTACGGGCAGCCGTGGCGGCCATCACGCACTCCTTGGTCTCACTATAGCCCTTGGCCGACGTAGCATATATAGTCTTCATCACCAAGAGCTTGAGGACTGCTCCGTGTCTCTCGCCCAGTCCCATTCTCCATTTCGTGGCCGGGGGCACCATTTCGTGGCACACATCGAATGCTCTCAACAAGGACTCGGTGTCGGCCGCATACTCGGTCCCTGCATCACTCATCAGCACCTCCGGCGGCCCAAACACCCCGATCCAGTGGTTCTTCAAGAAGTGCGCCACATGATCGGAACGGGGGGTTTTCATCAAGGTAGCCACCTGGTACAGGGAGAAGGCATCCACAGCATGCACCACCGAGTATTTCACTTTGTCGGCATCCCAAATGAAGAACACATCCGTGACCACTCTCTCATTGAAACGCTGCGGCCTCTCATAGGCCACTCTCGGAGCCGACTTGGGCGGGACCACCGATTGGCACACCTGGCACCGCATGTCCGTCACGGCCTTCACTCAAAAGGTGGTCCTTAGCTCCACTCAAGTGCAGCATCCGCTTCAGCTTTTCGGCTGAAACGTGACCCAACGAAACATGGAGTTTCGCTAGGGTGTTTCGCACCTGCCGTGATAGAGATCCACTCGTCCCCTCGAAGTAGATGTAGTCGTAGTGGTCGCCCGTGGCCTCGCCCAGCCTCTGGCGCAGCATTCCTTCCGGACTCTGCTCCACCTCCACCGGCACTGTTGCCCAATGAAGTTCTCGAGGGCATTCTTGGTGCAAAGTATGCAATCGTAAAGCATCAGCAGCCGTAACCAAGCATCGGCGGACCCAAGACTCAGGCCACCGATGTGCCTGCTCTGCCCGGCTCACAGGCACTCCATCGTCCGAACACTTGCCCTTCACCTCCTGATGAGATCCAGGAGGATGCTGGCATCGACTGCCATGCGCCAACTGAGCACACCACCAGTAGGGGTCATTCACCTCCAGTCTGCAGCTCTTCTTGTAGGGCTTCTTGGTGCCCGGGTCCACGGCGCCCCATTGGCATAGATCCACTCGATCTTGAAACACAGGATCGCGGGGGCCGTCTTGCTCATATAATCCCGGGTCACGTTCTCCACTGTGCATCTTGTAGTAGAGCTCGTGCAGGCGCCTCATTTCATCCAGTCCTGGAGACTGCATCTTCGCCGGCGTCAACAACAACACCAGACGACGGTGGACGGTCTGGTAGTTCCACATCTGGCTGATGAGCCTCCACATAGGCCAATAGCGAACCTTCGCAGCCTCCTGTTCTTGCTTCGATCCCTGCCACCACGGAGACCAGGGTCCACAAAAGGAGGCTGCATGATCAACACATCCGGCTTGCACTCTTGGAGTTGACGCCATAGCTGCCCACACTTCTTCATGGAAGGAGGACCTGGCTGGTCCCACCAAGGACCTTCCACTTTCCAATTTTGGCTCTCGTCATTCTGATGCCAAAGTCCTCCTGTAGGGAACACCTCGGCGATCACCGCACTGGCCTGCCAGGTTGCAACCAGAGTCAAGAGGCCGAGGTTCCGGGATCCAATCATAGCTCCTCTTTTCAGCTTCTGCTCGAGTCCGCGTGACGGGTGGCGGGGTCCACCTTTGCGCCGATCATCAGTTCGGCTCGACGGGGATCGTTGCACATCTGGCGGGCTGCTCCCAAGTGGCCCCACATCGCTCCCAGCTGTCGCCCGAGCAGAAGCATCATCCACCTGGGATTTCTCTTCCAACGGGTGCGCGGCCCCATCTCGTCCCTGATCGCCTCCCTGATCCGCTGCATCCACACAAACATCTTCCACTTGAACGTGAAGAGCTGGCTCTGGAGGCTGAACATGATGTTCACCACCAGGTCGTCCGAGAAACGATTGCTCAGGGCGGAGGGGAACGGGGCCGTGTGGTCGGTCAACATATGGGTCTTCGCTGGGCCCTTCCCCTTGGCCGTCTTCACTTCCGGCTTGGCTTCGGGCGTCTTGGAAGGAGTCGGCCTCGTCGTCCTCACCAACCGCGTGGCCTTCTCGTCCTCCGCTGCTGCCTTGCGCGCCGCTCGAAGTGCATCGATTCTGAAGTCGTCCTCGTCCTGCTCCAAGTCGATCACGCCATCCGGGCTCCCTCCTCTTCCATCGGCTCCGGCGGCAAATTGCAGTAGTGCCACTCCTCCTCCAGGTCCGCCACTCGTTGGACCCAGTACGCCTTCGTTGCTCTCGAGCCCGGCGTCGCTATGGAGTACGGGTCCATGTGGGGCTTGAGCATCTCCTCGAGCTCCTCCGCTTGCGCCTCGAGCATCGCCTTGGTGCGCTTGTCCTTGGAAGAAGTGCTGGGGGTCGCCGGAGCTGGAGCCGACCTTGTAGTCGTAGGGCCGGGAGAAGCCGCCTTCTTGCGATTGTTCTTGACCTCCACCTTGGCGCGGAGAGGCTTCTCGACTGATCTTGCTCTCGCCTTCTCGGCCGACTTGGAACGCGCCCGCTGCCAATCGCGGGCCAGGGCTGCGCGAAGCTTCGAATGATGTCGCAAAGGCTTCGGCGACTCGGGCTCCACGTGACTCCATTCGGAGAGCCCGTCCCCGCTCAGGGCCTTGGAGAACGCCTCGTCCTCGGTGTCGTTCGCGTCCATCCGGTGCTTCGCCGGGCCGCTCGATCCCTCCACTCGCTCCTTGTGGGGGGCGCAACACGATTGGAGGATCGAGCACTCGAATTGGAAAAAGGCTTGGCTGGCATTGAGCTGGCTTCGCCCACTGAGTCTGAGCCCGGCACCCGGAAGCTGAAAATGGTAGTCGTGTTGCACACTCGTGGTAGAGGCTTCCGAATACACGAACTCGAATCGACCTCTTCATCAAGCAACTGCTCGCCTGACTCGCTGTCCAACACCGTACGACGAATCACCATGCTCCAAGGAGGCCCGATCTTGCCCGGACCCACTGTGTTAGCTATGCACTTATCCCTCCTGGTCCATGACTTGAACACGCTGTTGGCACCTCGAGGCTCAGGTTGAGTTGTGACGTTCACGACATGCTCAGCAACATACACAGGAGAGGCTTCAAGATGAGGGGGCATAGGAGGGCCAGGTACAGTGGGCATGTTGTCGTCGAACTCTGCAATGGGGAGGGCATAGTGACCACCATACGTCTGTGCCAAACCATACTTCTTCACTTTGAGTTTTCGGGATGATACAGTGTGGAATTCTGTGTCAATGACCATACCCAGCTGACTGCACGCATGTTTGGAAAGCAAAGGCGGACACTCTCCTGGGACCACACTCAGACGCAGGATGACTTGAACCCCCAACACCGTCGCCTCAAAGACAAAAGAATAAGAACTATGCAGCTCATGTCCATCTCCAAAACGAAAACTCTCGCGCTCCCTGACGGCCTTCGTCCACCTGCCCATGCCCTTCATGCGTTGAATATGTTGGTTGACTCACAGAGTTCCCGCCACCGACTTCATACAGCCCAAATCAAGGATCAAGCTGCTCTCCTCGGGACGAAGAAAACCCTGGCTGAGCACTCGTGTATTCCGCAATGGCCTCGAGCAAGCGCCATTGTCCGGGGTCGGCATTCGGAACGCCGGCCGTCACATGTACCGCATGGGCAGGGCGATTGCCGGCCTTCTTGCGGAGAGGACACTCTTGCGACCAGTGTCCTAACTTCTGGCATAGAAAACAGGGCTCCTTCTTCTGCTACTCCCGAATCCAAGCTTTGGCCTTCTCCGGGGGAGAGCCCTTCTGAAAGTACTGGCGCATCTGCTTGATCTCGTTCACACGTTTCTTCGCCTTGTCTTGTACTCCTGGGCATAAATCTCCGCTGGAGCGCTCGCCGACGAGTCCTCGGCATCGCCAGTTGAGGGCGCCTCGCCATCGTCCTCCTCGTCATCCTCGAGGAGGCCTGCCACGTCCTCATCTGAGGGGCCATTGGACGGCCCGGAGCCGTCGGAGTCCTCGCCCATCACGGCGTGAAACACCTGCTTCCAGCGGCGAAACTTGCCAGTTCGCTTGTCTCGGGTGAACTTCCCCTTGTCGGTGCGGTGGGTCCTGCCATCGCCTCGGCTTTTATCGTCACGATCATGCCCATGGTGGCCGCGGTTCTTTTGCACCAAGAACTCGTCGTCATCATGCATCTCTGGTTCGCCACGGCCTATCGGGCATCCACTCGCTCCCTCCAGCTGCTCCGCCAGCTCCAGCATAGCATTCACGACCTTCGTCTCATCGTTCAAGCCGCCCGCCGCCGTCTTGACCAAGGCCTCGTCCTTACGGGTGAGGCGGGCCGCATCCATGAGGTGGCCCAGGTAGAACTTGGACCCCACCTTGCAGCTCTGGCACCGGTCGTTCTCGTGGCGGTAGATCGAGGCTCTGTTGATAAAGCTTTCCAAGGATTCGCCGGCGTAACGGGTGAGGCGCATAAACTTCTGCCGCCTCTTGTCCCCTCTTTGTGCTCCAGGAGGCGGATAATCGGCGACTTCTCCATCTCATTCTTGATGATGTCGATGCCGTCCTCGCCCGAAACCTCGTCCACTGTCAAGTGGTTCACGATCTTCGCGGCTCGCTCCTTAAGCTGCTGCATCAATCTCGAGCTCCGAACAGCATGGGGGAGCTGAGATCCTTCCGACGCCAACCAGAACTCCACGCTGCGCCAGTAGTCCTTCCAAGACTCACCAGGCCGGGCACGAAACTCCGGAGGGAACGAGCTGTGCAGCTTGAGGTAGTTCTGGGCACCGCCTCCGGTTCCGGAGGCTTCCGGCTTCCTGGCGCTCTTATCCTTGCCCTCGGCCTCCAAGACACCGAGGTCCTCTTCAATGGCTTGCCCGGGACACTCACGGGCAAGTGCACGTAGCGGAACTTCAACACGATCACCTTGCGCAGAAAGGCGGTCGTGCGGCTGATCGAGCCATAGGTCACGCCGAACATCTTGTAGACGCCCGCGCGCGGCCGCCTGATCAAGTACTCGGGCTCGTCCGGGAATGGTCGCCAACAGGCCGGGGCTATTCTCGCGGCGGGCTAGCAGCCGAGGGTAAGGCACTTCAGAACCCTCGGGTGTCTCACTGCACGTCTCTCCGCTCTCCGTTCGAAGTGACCCATCCACTGTCGGCGTCCAGGGCCTTGTTCTCCCTGCTCCAGAGATCAGGACGGTGACCTCGGAACCGGAAGGCTCAGCTTCATCGCCTGAGCCATCATCCACTCGCTCCTACACTAGGTCCGCAGCGCTGCGGTCGCCACTCATGGCTGGCTCAAGGAACTCCCAGACCCTTCACCAACCAAAAAACACGCTCCACCGGTGTCCCGCGACGGAGACCACCACACCCAAAGGAACCTGCGGCAGCCCCAAATCGGAGCTCCGCTACCACAAGAAAGTTCCAACGCAACAAAACTCACAAGACCCTCGCAGGGCTTTTCT